TTGAAAAAATATGCTACTCAGCTCGCAAATCAAAAGAGAGGTTTTTAACGGTGTGGGGACCTTTTATGTAGCACTTTCACAACTCCCAAAAAAGTTAAGGAGAGGATTTTATATCTCCTCAGGCCATCCTTGATTGGCTAGCGTACGGGCTCATAGTCTACATGTACGGTTGCTCTTCTATCTTGTTTTGCCCCTCTTTCCGCTCAGGTCGAGACCTGACTTCCGGCTGTTTTACATCTTACTCCAGGAATGAATACTAATTGGGCTAATTGACCTGCTGGGTTCTCTTTTTTTGGGGCTCTTGTCAGTGTTAGATGCCTGTCGTTCACATTTTGGTATCTGTTTCTTTGTTAAAAAAGTTAATAAAAATATTTCTGAGAAAAAGAGTGACAACATGACAAAATACTTTTTTTACTCTGCCAACCCCACATTACCTGCTGTACAGTAGAGTTTCCACCATTAAGAATAGCGATCCCCAGCTTCAAAGTGGAGGCCACCATGGGACCCATCTCACCTGGAAAAAAAAAAGTAACACATAGAAAAAACATGTCATGTAATGCTGTGATTAAGCTTTCCACACACTTCCTGTTTCAGACTTTTGTTTTGGTATACTTCTGTTCAATTTTGTTTGCTTTTTTCATGCTCTTTACCTGCTCCTTCTAACTCATCACTCTCAACTGCGGTCCATTCTGGTAAACAAGACATTCTGTATTTCTGTCAATAATCTGTATTCTCTAACTGCCAAATTGCTGTCTGAGCATGACCTGTCCTCACCCTAGTATTAATATTCCACATTTCCATGTCTCTCATGGTATTGCCTATGCTGCCTGACTGAACTGGTGACTTTGCCATTTAATGGACACTTCTCACTTGGGTTCTGGTCAAAGTTTCTGTTTCTAAATTTTCACGTTCATGTATGGACTCAAATTTCTGGTCAGTAGCTCTGTCTCCCACCTTTCATGCTTTTGAACAGACCCTAGCAGTTTTCCTAGTCCTGGTTATTTTGTCTGCACTATCTTTTTAAAATGGTGGCTGTGGTGGTAGTCAGTTACAGTAGCTCCTCTTTTTGCTTTTATTTGAGAAAGAAACAAGGCACCCAGTGCAGCGGTGTGGCACATGGGTGTGTCTTTAATAGTTACTGAACAACAGTGAAGGTCTAACACTTATCACAGGTTCTGCATTTGTTTTCACTGCCATGTGCCTGTGTTCTGCTTGTTCAACATCTGTTTTATAAACTGCTCGGTCTCCCTTACAGTCTGATTGTTGCACTGTGTAGTGATTCTCCGCATCGTCTGTTCTCACTCTGCTCAGCTGACTGCCTGTGTGAGAGGAACGCAGCCCCTCCCTCCAATAAACAGAGACCAACACAGAGAAAATACAGTGAAAAAACTAAACAGGATGGTCCGCATCGACCCGGGAGGTAATGTGGAGAGAAGTACAGGGTATACTGCTTGTTAGGTTCCAAATGCAGTGAGTACACAAATTTCATTGTTGGTTTTAGGTTCTGTATGCGATTTATGAAAGTTAACAAAGACATAGCCTTATATTTTTGGACATGCAATTGCTCATTTGTTTTACAAATTGATCTATCTGGTTTCCAATTATTTTCAGTTGTCAAATAAAAATCTAGGACCTTACATTTGGAGTTCTTATGTTTTGAAAGCTTATGTGTTTTTGGTTATATACTAAATCTATCATCATTAAAGCCAAAAATAACCAAGAGAAATCACTGAGGCCTTAAACTTACCTTTGCTAGCACTGATGGTTTGAAGCACCATCTCAGCGGCCCCTCTGTCATGCAGCCGAGCCTGCTGATACAACAACTTCTGCTTCTCCATCTCCTTCTCCTATTTATGTCAGCAAGGACACAGGTCTGACACGCATTAGCACACCCGTGTACCACTAAAAACACCATGAAGCTTGACAGACACACAGAGTAACTGATCACCTACTTCAAAACTCTTCACTTCCTCTCCATCTTCATCCTCTTCATCATGGCAACTCTGAGGGGAGAAAAAGTAATAAAAAAGGAATTAATCATATGGAGGCACCACTTAACACTGTCAAAAGCCTTATTGCCATTAGCATCCAGCTATTACATTTCTGAGTATTAAAAAGGTATGTAGTATTGGGTTTTAGCAGCGGGTACCTTAGCCATGATGTCAGCATAGGCCATGTAAAGATTATCCTCATCTAGTTTACTGCAACAGAAAATACACACACAAACATGAGTATATGTCGGTGGAGATTCTCATTCATCCAGGTCATGGTATAGCCATCCAGGCTCGAGAATTAACAGAATACATGAAATGAATACCCTATGTCTTAAGGCAGTTTTAAGTAGTGAATAAGTTCTTAACAATTATTCAATTTAAAATAGCAAATATTAGCCTTGCTAACTATAATAAATAGTGCTGTAGAGATAAATTGAAAGGGTGCTAATATACAATCTTGACTTTTCAACCTCCTCATTTTGTTTATATAAACTATCAACTTCTATAACTGAGACTTAAGTTGATGCAGCAAATACTGTATCTCCTATTCGGTTGAGCTTTGGATGCTACATACTGTAGCATGTATAAAAACCCACCACTTCTCTGTGAGGGCTGTTCTACTGAACAGCTGAATGAGCTGATGCAGAGGATCAATGTGCTTCAACCCTTCCTCTTCTTCAGATGGCTCCTGTTCACCCGGTTTCTGACGAACACACATTCACAATCAGAGAAGATTCAAGAATACACAGTGACAAAAAACTATTTGGTTTTGTATTTAGCCTTCAGAACATCTTTTTTTTCAAAGTAGAAGAAATTCCAACAGGATCTAAATTAATTCCACTTGTTTTACATTCACACTGAAAAGAACTAACTGCAAGGTCCTCTATGAGTTTATCTTCGAAGTAGTGCTCCTCTGCCTCAATCCAAGACTTCTCATAGCCCTGCAGGAACAAGTTGACAGCCCGGTGCCTAGTTTTGGGGAGATACAGGTAGGAGTGTTTTTACAAGATATACCACATGTACAGTACACACACCTGCACACTTTGTATATACCATGTGTGCATTCATCTATGGGGGTGTAGAACTTGCCTGGGCAGGTTATAAAGTGGTGCCATCCTGAAGCAAGCGACTACTGCTCTTTTCCTCTGTTTAGACAGCAGTTTGTGCCACACTGCTTTCTTACTGCGCTGAGGATGTTCAACCTAAACATACAAACTGAGCTCAATAGACAAGTGGGTCATGGTTGGGAGTTCATATTGCCTTTAGGACAGCTGTTTACAGGAAGTGCATTTGTAAACAGACACGGTTTTCTTCAGAAGCTGTTCTTCTCCAGGACATAGATATACAGTGTATCAAACCCAAATACTGTATGATTGTACAGAACTGATGTATGGCTACTTCCTATTGCTTCAGTCAGTTTTCCAGTGTTGTAAACATCTTTTGACCTGTGTCATCTTTTATTCTTTATACACAAACACACACCTGGTCTAGGTGGAAGAGGACATGAGCAATGTCCAGGATTCTCTCCACAGTCTTCTCACGGTCAGAGGTGTCCTCACAGAGATTGGGGAGATCCCTGTACAAGGCCATCTGCCAACGAATAGCTGGGTCCTCCAGCTGTACAAAAGACACACGTACCACTTATATTTACATTTTAGTGTGTGTTGAATTTGTGCCCTACTCATATTCTAGTCA